GGAGAGAGTAGGTAGGTAAGTAGGTAGGGAGATGTTTCCAGGTGTATTTATCCATGTGCTGCAAAAGGAAATCGCTGACAACCTGCAGCATCTAAGTCTTGTTTCTGCTGGCACAGCACTTGAACAATGTAATTCTCATCAATCACTTTAAGTAAAGAGCTTTCTGAAAGGGGGGGGAGTTTTTGCACTCTATAAACCTCCCCAAAACGGCCCATTTTTTGCAAAACCGGGCCCGTTTTTTTCAAATAAAAGGCATGAATAGCCGTGGGGGGGGGGGGCTTGCAGAGTGCTCCATGGGGAGGCAAAAACAAGCAAAAAAGTCCTGTTTTTCACAAAAACGGGCCCATCTTTTGTCAAAAAAATTGCATGCATAGCCTTATGGAGGCTTATAGAGTGCTGCTGGGGGCTGGGGAGAGAAAAAACGTTTGTCCCCCCAGTCCCCATTTTTTGCTCATTTCTACCCTCTCCAGCCCCCAGGAGCTCTCTGAAAGCCTCTATAAGGGTATGCACGACCATTTTTGTGAAGGGGGAGGGGCTTTGGGAGGCAAAAAATGCTGTATTCAATGTATAAGACGGACCCAGATTTTCAGCCTCTTTTTTGAGGAAAAAAGGTGTGTCATACTCCAAAAAATACGGACTGTATTTGCTTAATCATGATTTTGCTGAATAAACCACAAGGATTGGGATTCACATTTTTACTTGCTTTAAAAATACAAAGTGATGGTTTATGTGAACAAATTCTTTTGCCACATTTTTGCTACTTTTGCCATTGGCCAATTTTATGCTCCAAAACATCTTCATTACAGGTTATTCATTTTTACACTGATTTTAAACAATGAGACTCTTACGCATAGATATTACAGATAAACTAAACCACACACCAGCTTTGCTAATGAACAATAAATGAATAAGTGATTTGCATCTCAGAAAAACGTCATCAGCACTTGGCTCTTTTGAACATCAGTCTGTAGATCTCATGCATTGGAAGCTAAGAAGCTGTTGAGCCAGCAAGACTCTCGCCCAGATTTCTCTTTTTTATCTCTCTTCCAAGTGGGAGAAGGACAGCCAGTGCCACTGGCTGGATTTGCCGTTCTTGCCTATTTGCAGTTTTGTGCTTCTGGAAGTATTGGGCTGTGGCTTCAGCTTCCAAGCCAGTGCCTCTGTGCATGCTTTTGAGCGCAGGGAGGAGCATTTGTGCTGTACCCTGTATGCCTGAGCTGCCACCTGCCAGGATGTACCTGTATGAATGGGATGATGATTCAGAGGCGGTGAGTAATTGCATATGCCAGTTTCGGTACCTTGCATTGCTTATGTCTGCCTTTGCCAAATTATTGTGGCGCATCTGAAAGCATCAGAGCTCAGATTTTATCATTTTTGCTCCCCACTGTTCTGTCAAGGTTCTAATCTGCATCTCTTTCTTTTCTGATCTTTTTCTTTCAACCTTCCTTGTCCAGGAAAATTGTCCATTTTTAAACAGGTCAAAAAGTTGCTAAAAGAAACATAATTTGAAAACCCATTCTCAAATCAGATCAGGTTATTGAGTTGGGACAAATCTTGACAGGACCCCTGGGGAAATCAATCAATACTACTTGACATTCATTTCCAGCTCAGGAATATTCAGGTTTTTTTCCCCTTTTTGTAGTGGTAGGGGTTGGTGATAGCTCCATCTTCCCTCAAATGTCCTTTTCACAAGAGAAAAATTCACATATCACAAGCTTGGTATTTTTTAAATGGATGTTTTTGGTTTCTATATTGCCACTCTTTATAGAATACTTATTATTTAAAACATGATTTTGTGTTTGTTTATTTCTGCCTAAATCTGCCCAACTCTATCTTCTATTATATACTAGATGTTGGTACATCAGGCTGAGATGCTGCCTTAATACCCATATGGAATGTAGGCCAATTGCAACTGTATCGTTTGTGCATTTTGTTGCATAGAAACTACTAGGTATCTCTGGGATTAAAAAAGCCGCTACCGTGTGAATTTTCAATCCTGAAATTAAAGCAGAAATCAAGTTTTACTGTGCGCACCTGGGAAGAGTCAAAATGAAGGACAAGGGTTTTTTTTGCTCAGTTCTTCCTATTCTGAACTCCTCTGACCATTTCCCCTATGTCTCTCTTTTTGTGAATTCCACCATATGTGTCCACTTTGCAGGACATCAGCTTTTTACTTCCCGCTTTTTGGAGTTTTTGGCAAATTTAGCTGTGTAGTCTCCTGTTATAGGAAATGGCTGCACTCCTTTAGCTTGCAGGATGGCCTGCTTTTTTCAATTGCACAATCAGCTAGAGAAGCCCTTTGGTCTCCATGTAGCTTCTGTTTTCTTAGCACTGAATTTGGTGGGAACCTCCCTTATGTTTGCAAACAGTGACAATAATGGGCAATCTGTAGGAAACCTTGGGCTTAAATAGTGGAAATATATACTGTTGGAGTTGGAAACATTTTCCCAAAAGCAATCAAATTCCCACAGAGCTACCTTAATAGGCGAACTAAAAAAAATATCTGTATACAATTGGGTTTAAATAAGCACCCCCATTCCTTCCCTCTTACTACTTGATTGGCAACTGCCTGGAGAGTTCTCACTCCTTTGAGAGCTTTTCCTCACCTCAGCTTTTGCAGAAATTCTGCCTTCTCAACTAAGCTTGGGGGGGGGGCTGCTAATTAACGGTGGTATTTCAGCCCCTCAGACTCTCTCCAGTCAAGTGACCGCTATTCAAGAATTGTCAGGAACATTAATTATCTGTTCATCAGGAGAAAAACATTATTTCTTCCAAAAAGCCCTGAAAAAAGATAGGATAATTACTACTTGTGTGTTCAGAAAAGACTTTAGCAGCAAGATAATTTGTTTGCCTGTGACAATCAACATGGGAATATGGACATACTTAAGTGCATCATATCTGGGATATAGCAGTCTTCAACTTACAGCAGTTCATTTAGTAACTGTGGAAAGCTACAATAGCAGTGAACAAAGTGACTTATGACCATTTTTCACACTTATGACTGCTGCATCCTCCTCCTCATGGACACTTGGCAACTGACTCATATTTAAGACGTTTGTAGTATTGTCGGGTCATGTGATTACCTTTTGCAACCATCAGTCAATGTCACTTAACAACCATGTTATTAACTTAACAATTGTAGCAAGAAAGGTCATAAAATAGGGCAAAGCTTAACAATGGTTTCACTTAGCAACGTAAATTTTGGATCAATTGTAATCGTAAGTAGAGGACTACCATTTTCTGCAGAAAATGATCAGATACACAAATAAAATTAACTTTAAAAGGAGATAACTAAACTGAATGGGCTTCTTTTAAAGGAAACATGAATAGGATCAAATCATAAGAAAAGGAGGAATCCAATCAGGTATTTTCAGGACAAGATGGTACATTTTCTCACTTTTTAAAATATAAATCAATAGTAATCAAAGAAATCCTTTACTGAACATAGTCCGCTGACCTTTACAAGTTGCAGGAAAACAATAAAATCTAAATATGACATATAAATATGACCAATCTATAAAATAACAAGTATCAATTCTGACAGAGTAATACTGTAAAAAGAAATTGCTGAGTATAAACAATTGTTAAAATTGAGTACTGTAAGGTACTTAGTTATTCTAAGAGAGGCAAATTTATTAGGCCCTTCAGAATAAATTGGTATGTAACAATTGAGTGGTCTCTTCAAAAAACCTTTAAATAAGAGGTGGGTTAAACTGTCCCTAGAGCAAAACTGAATGTAAAACTAAATACAAGATTTGTTTTAATATATTAACTCTATCATATTCAATCTATCCATAATTGATAGTTGATGCACAAAATATACATTGCAACGCTTATTGCAAAGCCTCTCAACTATCAAACGACAACCCGGCCTTCACGTGGTGCCCCCCCGTTCCCACCAATCAGGCTCTGTCGACCCTTGGGACTGGCGTCCCCTTGGGTATATCCAGCCGAAACAGCTTCCATGGATCGCCGTATCCATTCATTTTTAGGGCTAAACAATATCGGTTGCCTCAATGTGCAAACATTGCTACAAACAGGGAAGCAGGCCCTTTTGCTAAAAGTATTTAAAATCATATAATAGCGACTGGCTGCACCACCTGACAACCCTAGCCCAGGACCGAAAACAGTGGCGTCAAATTTCCATGGAAGTCGCCTATACCCACAATGGGTGAAGAGGCGTCAAGTACAAGTACAAGTACAATCCATCTCCCTTGTCTCCTCCAATGGTGATTCCAAACATGTTTATTTTGATACAGGAACCTCCCTCCAGATGTAGCGGCTCAATTTCTGGATGACTTGGGAGTTACAGGTTGTTTCCAGTGTTGTAAAGAAGTGGTCTCATCCTTGCACAGCTGGCTAATCTAAATTTTCCCCACTTTCTCCTTTTTTGAGAAGGGAAAATTATATGGGAAAAAGGAGGGGATGGGTGCCCAGAAACTAGACCTTTTTTTTCATTTTGAATTATACCAACATCCATCTGCTATTGTCAACAAATAATTTCCTGGAGACCAGAGGCATGGTTGCTCTGTGGTAGAACTTCATGCTTTGTTTTTCATACAGCATACTTAATCCAGTCAGCCAGGAGCTCAATCAGGGCTCTTTACCAATGTTCTGGAAATATGGAATCACATTAATTGGGTTATGGGCCATTATTTGGGTATTATACAGTAGACAGTCACCTCTTTCAGGCGACATCTGGTGTCCTTTTGTGCTAGACTAGTATTGAAAATAGCTCTATTACATCACTAGTGCCTTCTCCTTGCTCAGGCAAGCATCAGGGGCTTGACTCAGTGGTGGGATTCACTCAACGTTCCCTTCCTGTTTGCAAATGTGAGCGCACGTGCCATGTCTGCACACCGCCTTCTGTGCATACGCACTGCTCACGCATTACATCAGGGCAAGTGAGTGGAGCCTCCCACACCTGAACCGGAGAGAACTGGATGAATTCCACCTCTGGCTTGACTTCATCTTTTTTTCACTTCCTCACCCATTTTTAGGGTTCTGCTGAGTCCTATACCAGTCGCCCATCTGATTCTGATGTGTCCCTGGAGGAAGACCGTGAAGCCCTGCGCAAAGAAGCAGAGCGTCAAGCATTGGCACAGCTGGAGAAAGCCAAGGTAAGTATCTTCTTTCTGTAGAGTTAGAGAGTTAGGATTCAGAAGATGTCATGTTGCAAAGTCACCTGCTTATCTGGCTTTAGACTGGGAGGCAAATATACCATCTTTTCATTCCAAAGGACTGCAGTGCAGTATGTGAACAACAGGAAAGCAGAAATTTCCATTAAGATCAAACTTCCTTCACTTTATGAATGAGAAAAACAAAAGTTATGCCTAGTCCTAATGAACGAAGATTTTTTTCCCCTTTGCATCAGATGGACAAACCAAGACAGCTTCTATTACATCTACTGAGTCTTGTTATAAAAGATAGCTTATATTCATGTCAAAAGTGTCATCACAAATGAACACCTCCTGCTGTTTGAGAAGATATATCAGAACAGAAATGTTTCTCTAGAAAGTAACGTTTTTCTTTCCACTTTTCTTTATGGAAGGAGAGTCTGCTTTTCCTGAATTCTTAATATTCCTTTTCTAGGATTGATATACTGTATATCTGATAGGAAATTGTTTTGCAAACAGAGCAGAACAGAATTTGGGATGTAATATTTACATAACTTTCTCAGAGAAAAACTTTACAGCAAAGGAGACCAATTTTGCCCTGAGTGTAAAAGCGAAGCAGTTCAGAATGGCAGCTTTGATCCAGGGCCAGAAATATTGTGAATCAAACTTCTTGTATTAAAGCTTTACTAACTAAAACAGTCTTGTTGCCCGATTACTAGATGAAAATTGTATTTCTTTACTTTGTTAAAGACCAATGTTTCTTCTGACTCAAAATAATTTTCAGCAAGAATTCCTTCTTTTTTATATCATTAATTTTTGCAGAGACTCTGCATTGTAAATTAATTTTTTGTTGCACTTGAAATTTCAGTCTGTAGGAGGAGGTTTTACTAATCTACATGATATCTTGGATTGGCTAAACAGCTTTCTTGTGTAGTTTGGAATATGATAAAAGTAACCTATCTGTGCTTTTACCCTCTTTTAACAAGAAGAATGTAAAGAGGATCTGGTTAAATAGTTAGCTTTAAGTGCTATCCAACTGGAAGGATCCTTGGTCACATACATTATATAAGCAAGAGTTTCCCAAGCGGCATTCTTCAGATGTTTAGGATTATAACTTCCATTTCCTTTGACTTTTTGTCTTCCTGGATGAAGGTGATGGAAATTGTAATCCAAAACATCTGGAGGACTTCAAGCAGCTGTAGTGTTTTTGGTTTATTAAAAGCTCTTGTCTCATTTGTCAAGATACAAGGTAATTCAGATCACCAATATAAACGTGGTAATCACTTTGTGCATCAATAATAAAATCGTGCTATATCTGTCACTGCATTAGAGATGATGATTTGATTTGAGTATTATATTGAAGGGCAAGTCAGATTTAAGTAGCTATATGTTGTAGCAGCTATATCCTTTCACAAATTAAATCTCCATTCTTATCCCTTTAGTTCTGCTTTTCTAAAGCATATGCATTACCTTGGGAGTATTTTAGATTCAATTCAACTTTCAGATGCTCAAGGTATCTCCTCAGATTAGTTTATGGATGTCTGCAGAGAACTGGAATGATAAGTAGGCATGCACATTGTCCCATTGTAAGCCACATTAACTTATTATATTTTAACTTATTTCACTCACTTGATCCTTATGGTAGAAGAGCACTAATATGCTTTAAAAAATTAGTTTCAGAGAACCTTCTGTGTTCATGCAACATACTCAATCTAGTCAGTTACACACTGTTGATTATTTTGTCTTGTTTTTAGCATGTTTTATAAATGCAGACCATTTGGTCAATGGATGGTTCAATGTATTGTGCAAATCCAAAAATTAGATTAATTCATGAACCACTTTCCATGTTATTTGAACACAGTTTAGTTATCCCTATCTAATTAAATCAGGGTGGTAGCTAACAGGCAAATAGTTTTTCAGCAATAGCTTCTAAGTTATGGAACTTACTCCCCCAAAGCCTTTCTTTTTGTGCATCCATTACACCCACTCCAGGATCAAGAGGCCCCACGTATGATCATTCATGCCTCGACCATTCATGCTTCAACTATTGTAACATGTTCTATGTAGGGACTACCTGTGAATACCATTCAGAAACTACAATTGTTCCAGAGTGCAGCAGCACAAATAGTTATGGATGACCCACTTGTTGCATCACTATTTTGCAAGCCACACTGGCTTTATGTAAGCCTCCAGGTGCAATTCGAGATGCTGGTTATCATTTATTTATCATTTATTGTACTTTAGGGAACAAAGGAGATTATTGTCAGCTGAATTCAACTCTGACTGATTCTGATTATGTTTGTCCTTTTCACAAAATCCAGGAGACTAGTCATGCTACTAGTCCTCTTCATCAAACAATTCATCTACTGGGACCTAGTTTTGTTGTGGCATTTGCCTTTTGGAACAACACATCTCCCTCCACAACAATGAATGGATGGATAGATAATTGATAAATCAAGACAAAAAGCATCTAAAACATTTTTAGATGTTTTCTTTATTGTGAGAAAGCATATATGGTTGTTACAATTTTTAATAGCTTGCTGCATTCTGGTTCTTTTTACTCACCTTTGGCTTACTTATTTTTCAAATGTTTTTAACAGTTGACCATTTGTGACTTTAAATTGTTCCTCTTGGGTTTTTAAAATTTCTTTTAAAGAAAATTATTATCTTTTAAAGGGGAAAAAAGATGACACAAGCTGTCAGGTTGTAAATACCCGAAGCACCTTGCTTTTCTATTTACACTGAACAATACTTTCCTCAATCTCTGCACTACTGTAGCAGTTCTCAGAAGAATTGTTTGTTTTTCATTAACAGTTAACTCATGTCTCTGCTATGGGACGATCAAATAACCCTCTCCAAGGTGAGAAATATGAAACAGGGATTTGAGGACATGCCATATGAGGACAGGCTGAAGGAACTTGGGAGGTTCAGTCTGAAGAGAAGAAGGGAAGGGAGATGCCAAGTGCAAATATATGAAAGGGAGACATGAAGCCCCATTACTGCAGAAATTATGGTCATAAATAATGTGTACAAGTTGCAGTTACCTAGATTTTACTTAACTACTATGGGAAACTTCCTGATGGTAATATCTATACAGCAGTGGCATAATATGCCTATGGAGATTGTGGAATCTCCTTCTCTGGAAGTTTTTAAGAAAATTCTGGACAAGAAGAATAGTTTGGACAGCTCCTTCTTAATGATGTCTTAATAGAGTTTCCTGCAAATTACAGTAGGTTGGATTAAATTATCTCCATTGTCCCTTCCAGCTCCATAATTCTGTCATTCTGTGATTTACTCTATCAGGGCTTTGGGTACTTTTTCTGCTTTTGTATGGAGTACCCAACTTTCTGAATAATGCAAGGTAGTTATATACTTCACTTTATCAAATATTATCCATCCAAAGAATGCCCAAAATGTCAGGATTGTTTTTCTAACTTGTTTCTTGATCCCCAAGTATGGGGACTATATAAAGGTATAAAGGGGAAAAAAAGACACAAAGTTTATGTGATGTGCTTTTTTGGAATGGTCCCCCATACAATTATGCAGTCTTCTCTCCTTCCCTGATTTTATGCAATTGGAATCATACCTTTTACCCCTGGAATGTATTCTGCAGATGACCTGAAAGAATAGTTACTTTCTGGACTCTGAGGCATGTGAAAATCACTACAAAGTTCCACTTGGTTGGAGGATCAGTTCCTTGTTTAGACTTCAGAAAAGTTCCAAACCAATTGAGGCAGGCACAAAAATGCCTCAAGGCTGGATTGGCTCAGTACCCTAAATTCAATTAAAATAGTTGGAGGCATTCATGGTTCAGTGAATTGAATTGAATTTATTATATTTCTATGCCGCCCTTTTCCCCGAAGGGGACTCAGGGCGGCTCACAACCCAAGTCAAGGGGGGGGG